ATCACCTTGCTTTTGAAAGATAGATCGGAAACTGTTAAAAAAAATTGTGTAACAATGATCTGCTCCCTCTACAATCTATAATTTATGATTAGGTATGATCTTAGCAAACTCAAAAGTATCTTCAACTGGGATTTACTTGGTCAGCGATTCCATGGATTGTCAAGACCATTAGAAATACATAGCATGTTGGCAACCACTAACTGATTAGCATCAGCTAAGCATACTAACAATCTAATATACCAGAAAAATGAAAGTAAATAGCTAATAACCAAGCCTTTGTCTGAAGATAAAAAAGGGTAGTCAACAAATTTTCAAGAAAGGATCAGTATTTTATAATTTATATAATTCCAAGTGAAACCTCTCCTTTACCCAAAAGAGAGAAACCTTCTGGAAAAAATTCTAATCCCAATATGTGTTAAGAGAAAATGCCTTAGCAAAAACCCATTTAGGCAATTCTACAAACACATGGTACGCATAGCTTAAAGAGACCTAATCTTCCCAAGCTTATCTAATCAAAACCCAACATTTTATTACCTATTATCTAGCAATTCATTTTGAGAAACTTCATCAATAACTTCAGTCGCACATATTACCCAAACACTACGATTAATCATAATATTTACCTTGGTTAACCATCCATTTGAGTCTAAGGAAAGCTTCCTCTGCTTAATTTCTTCATAAATTGAGAGCTCTAGATATTGATTGGACCAAGGATTGATTTCGTAGATGAAATCGTGGCTTGCTTGCACCACTTGAAACAATTTAGGACCAATTAACAATTTCGAAAGAAAGGAACAGATAACAATTGCATAAGTACAAATCCCCATAGAATGAATCCAAAAGGAGATTAAGAGGAAATTTCCAATGGTAGAAATCCCCATGGGAAATCGAAGAAGAAATCGAAAAGTGGATTGAAAAAGAAAAATTATTTGAGACGAGGCACTGCTGGGGCAGTAAGGAAGTAAAAGAAAAGAATGGGGAACGACAAAGGTTGAAACCTGTCTCATTGGCAAAATCCCAAATCCACCCTTAAAAAGTGGGAAGGATATATTCATCTCTATAAAAAAAAAAAGCATATAGATAAATTACGTGGTTAATAAAATTTATTAAAAAAATAAATAATTTATATTAATTTATGATTTGTAGTGGTAATTTATTTTTATATTTTTATAAAAAATAAATTTAACCGCTTTTTTTAAAAGGTGAATTTGAAGTTTTGTGTTCCTATTTTGTTTTGAATTTTTTTAAAAAAAGTCAGGTCAAAGGACAACATGGCAAGCCCACCATTTAAATAAAGATAAAATTAAATATAAATATTTAATGTATTATTTAAATAAAAATAAAATAACTAAATCAAATTATTTTTATTTAAAAAAAGTAAAAAATCTAAATTGAATTGAAAGATAATCCAAACTACCAAAA